CCACATTACCGCACGCACTTAATTCCCCTTATCCCCCCCCCCCCCCGCCCCAAATCTCCCCTCGCGTTATCTCGGCAGTCGTCGTATTCCCGCGCTGCCTTCGGCAGCCCTCTCCAAAGGCTGCAGCCCTTTGTGAGGCCGTTCCCTCTTTCCGCCTGAACAGCCTCCGCTCCGTCACCAAACCGGGATGAAGAGGTCGTGGCTTTTTACCGCCGTATTTACATCCATTTTTCTCTTATCAGGACTGTCAGAATTAATGAGGTTGTTAAGAAAAATTGAAGACAGCATCAAATGGAGATACTTCGGGGGTTGGTTTTTAACATGCGTGCGATCTCTGCTAAGAAGCACAAATTTCAGCTTGCTGAAGGTTTTCATTGAGCGGAGATGAGAACAGGGCAGCCTCTGGCCGGAGAACCCGAGAACCTGAACCGTTTCACCTCCACCCATACCACTCCGCAGGGGAGAGACGGCTCTTTTCAAAACTAACCATTCGATAAAAAGCCTGCACTAGGGTGTTGGGAGATTTGAAAGGGACATTTCAAACGTTGTCCTTTCAAATTCGGATCGTTTTAACGCCTTTCACAGCTGTAGCAAATGTAGGAAAGTCTCCTTTGGCCTGTAGATAGGGCTTAAGGATTTTCATTACCTTACTAGAGGCAGAGGAAGAAACAACATAGAGACCGTCCCCAGAGGGAGAATTCAGAGGAGTTCGTCAGCGCCCAGATAATGGAAGACTGAAGGGCCCCAAAACTCATTCTTGCTCCTACTGCTCACAAACACTCCTAATCCTTCAAGAAAAAACAGGAAACAAATGGACCCAGAATCTGACTTCGGGTAGGCTGGTGTGAATTCAGAGATGAGAATCTAGTTTATGACCATTTACTCCAGCTTCACTCTGAAATGCATGTCCAGTGATATGCATTTACGCGGGCAGGACAACGGTGAGACTCGCACACAGGAAAAACAGAGAGAGAAACTCTCATCTGAGAACTGAACACCAGATTCTGCCACTTCACCTGTTGTTTTCCTGGTACTCCCTTCTTTCTTGACCATTAATATCTAGAGTGGTTCAGTCTTACACACCTACATCCGTACTCAACGGCTATGATTTCCATGGCTCCTTGTATTACATCCAAGTTTAATTTTTTTCTGTCTCCATTTTTCCTGCATACTATAAGCAACAAAAGGAGATGGCTACAACAGTGGAGTCCAAATGCATCAAAGAAATGAAAATCTTATGGCAGCTGCTAATTAGAAACTTAAAATCTGCAGTGCCCAAGATATTTTAGAGTGTATTTTATTCAGAAGAAGAACTGTTAAATGTGTGAGGATGAAAGAGATGGATTACAGGAAAATTAAATGTAGGGTTTAACTGAGAAATAATCATTTTCTATGAAAGATAATGACTCCTCTTGAGGCTAGTATCAAGATTTATTGACCCAGGAGGTTAATATTGATCAAAACCAAGGCAAACAAAATATTAGACCTTGAAGTAGAGTAATCTTGATATTGAAGTCTTGCCACTGACTGAACAGGTCAATATATCTGGGTGCCAGAATCTAAGGTTTTGAACACATAATGGTGGAGGATATTAAATATGTCTGACATGTTCTATGTATACACTTTTTATTCTCATCAGCAGTAGTTACTTTATAGCTATGTCCTTCTGTATATAGCCATCTTGCAAAGATTCAGGCTTCACTCACAAACCTGATTGCAAATATAATGGTTATCTTTCTCAAGTGTAATGTACAGTGTAACATAAGGCACCGCTCTGAAATAAGGCAAGTCCTTCATCTGCTCATTCACACATATAAATGTTATTTTTAATAGCTCTCATTCTGGACACACAGGAAGGATCCTGATGATCCTGGTAGGAAACCATACTGACAGTAAGCTGTGAAAAACTGTAGTGTTTCAATATATAGATTTGTCTCTGTATCCAACAATTTGTCTATAAGTCTGGGATGAAAAAATTTATTGAATTAAATTCTACCATAAGGTGACAACAAGAAAACATTTATCTCGGAACAAATAACTCATCTGGACGAATTAATCAATGAAGATAAAGGTGGGGGTTGGGGGGGGGGAGATAATTCTCACCCAAGAAGGAAGAGTTCATCTAACACTGCATCTCAGAAGTATCATCATCTGCAGGGCCCACACATAGGAATGCACCACTAAGGATATGAAAATAGTGCACAGGTTAAGATTTAATCTGTTTAGGGCAGAAATTGTCTTTCGATTTCTGTTCATATGGCAACTAGCACAATGGGGCTTTTAGTGTCCCTAGGAGTTACTGCAAAACAGTCAGAATTCATTAGTGGTAGTAGAAGTGTATACAATGTGCTCTGAAATCAATGAGAATTTCAGTAAAAATAAATAGAAAAAAAGAAAGATACATGTTTTTTCTTTTGTTTATTCAGAAAACAAACAACTTATATGAAAACAGTTATTTGAGCCATCAGTATTTAAAAATAGAAACCTAAAATGCATTTCCATTCTGCTTTTTTCAACAAAAACTGCCTGTATATATTGTGATTTTAAATATAAATTTATGTTTAGTTCATATGTAATTACCCTGCTTTTATGTTGATTTGAAAGATGTCCTGAATGAACAGGATTTGAATAAATTGGATTTACTTAAATTTAATTATTCATTAATATACAGTTTCTGAATACCAGCAAGACATAAATATTTGCATAGTATTTGTTTAGAACACTAACAAATAAAATTTTATCATTGGTCTTCTCGTAATGTGACATAGGTGGAAGCACAGGGGCACACACAGTGAAAAGTTAGCATGATCAGAGAACATTCATATTGCCTTGCTAAAATCTCAGTTTCTCCAATTTTACCAAAACAAAATAAAATAGATTCTTGATTTCCTCAGTTTTTCCAATAAAAATATATCCCCAGCAACTTTATGTTTAGATATTGTAAGAATTCAAGGACGCGTGTGAATTGCGTGTTAAAGAACTTAATTGCTTTCATAAATATATATACATATTTAGTATTCAGAAATTCAGAAACCGGAGTTACTGATAGGAAAGTAACCCATAAAGTGCATTACATCAGTATATGTCTTCTGTTTAGAACAGAAACTCTGGCTCTGAATCCTGCCAGGGCAGGATCATTCCATATGCCCATCTCTGAAATTGTCTCCAGGCTAATTTTAACCAATTCAAGAAATGGAGTGCTTCAGTATAGCCAACAGGGGGTTCAAGGCTAAACGTAGGCTAAACACGAGAGAAATACATTCTACCTGCATAAAGCCTCCTTTCATTGTAAACATGGGCGTATAACTTAGCCTAAGGCTATGCTGGTATTGGGTATACAGTTCAAAATTAAAATTCTTAATTGTGCACTTTTTGCCTTAAAAATCACAGAGATTAAAATTCCACCATTTTTTTAGTGAAAAATTCTAATCATAGACTCATCTCAGATAGATCTGATTAAGAACTCTGATTGTGTCAAGGATTAAGCTATCAAATATGTCTTCAGTTATTCTCATCTTCACAGTTAATTCATCATCATCATAGTAAGTCCACTGAGATTCTTCTTTGTGGAGCTCCTGAATCTAAAATATAATGTGAGTATGAATGTTTACGTCAAGAGCAAGAGCATGCTCAGTTCTGCAAGGTACAAGAAACCGTAGCCCAATCGAACAGTTTCATATATGCATCATTAATTTAATGCCAAAACTAAGACATTTTTAGCTACCTCCATTTTCTAATAAAGTTCACTTAGTCCACTCACAATAACTGACAATAGTGAATTATTATTGCAAAAGTACTGAAAAGGAAGGCAATAACTTAAAATTCTGAAGTTATTTTAAGTAAACGCGGTTCTCAGAAGAGCATGAGAATTGTTAGTTTAAACTTCAACTTTTACATTACTTTTACTTTACTTTTACATTAAAAAGTAAACAAAGCTCCACCTGGATGTCCGCTTACCAGAATAAGATCCACTCTATCTCTCTTACAGTTTCCATACTTGGTCATATTAAGGAATTTTCTTTTCATTTCTATGTCGTTCTTTTCCAAATTCATTATTTTAATAATTTCACTCTGAACAAAAGTCTACAAAATAAAAAAGGCTGAAAAGAATTGTTCTCATAGGAAATCTGTCATTGTGAAGGCTGCAAATGAGAGACACAGGCACCAGTTGAAGATCCAGCTTCAAATCTAGAGAAGTCCCAAAGTTTAGGGAAATGATCTAGAAGTAGCTAGTTAATAATGATCAACACTTTTTAAACATAAGATTATTAAGTCCTAAGATTTTCATAGCCTGGAAGATGTAGAAGCCCAATTCCCTACAGAATTCCATGCACCTGTAAGATTTAAATTAGCTAAGCACCTCAGTCTATATTTATTCAAGCATTTCAGAACAATGCTGTTTTCTTCTCTCATCACCTCAGTTGTAGTGCCATAACCCTCCCAGTTTTCACGTCTTTGCCATTTTGCCACTGCAGTCTCTCCTCTCTTCATTGACTCTCATTATTGTGCACTTTACATTTCCAGAATGTACCTTGACCTCATTGACATCTGTTCTTCCGCAAAGACGCCTGGAACAGCAAGATCCCAAATTTTCTTTCAGCCATGGAAATGTATTTGGATTTGCAGTTACATGATATTCTGCACATAGCAACTCATGGGTCAAATCAAATATAATCTGCAACAAGAAGAAAACACAGTACCAGCATAAACTGAAACCCTCACTGATACCCTTTCAAAAGTTTTCCTAGCGCTTGTGAAAGAACTCAGACTGATGACAACAGAGATTTGCAAAATTCCCTAGCATCACTTATGTCGCTGATGTTCCTATAACTGTCATCATCATGGCCTTTACTTAAAGAACATGTGAACCAGTGCAGCAGTAGATTTTGATCAGTGATGTGTGAACATTCATCCGCTAAGTGTGGATGGTCGATGCAGGAGGCCCTGATGGGACGCCTTAATCAACTTGTGCAGACAGAGATCCCCAAAACTCAGTAATCCCAGGATGCTGAGGAACATTAAGATCTTTCCAAGCATTCCACTTAAAGGACACGCAATTTTGAGAGCAAAGAAACAGGGAATGCAGGGGCAGCTGGTGCAGGAGCAGGAGAGGGAGGAAGGAGGGGAGGTGTGTTGCTTGGGAGGTCTCCAGTAGTTCTGCTTGGAGCTATCTGACTGCGCACCCTGACTTGGTACCACACCTGAGAGCAGTGTAACCCAACAGAGCAGGACAGCCAAGGCAGCAGACTTGGACTCTTCAGAGTGCAGCTTTCTGACAAGCTTGGCTTTTTCTGAATGGACCCAGAACAGAGACTGGACTAGATCTCCACGGTCTTAATTACAGAGAAGCTCTAGCAAAATGCTTGTATTAGAGTAAGGACACGTATATTTTGTTTTGCACTAGATTAACAGGCACAATGTATTTTGCAATACCTATTTCAGTGTTCCTTTGCTATATTTAGTGTTACTAGTTAGAGTAATGTTAAGTACTAGCTGATATGTTTCAGCCTACAAAACACTACAAAGAGTTAATAACATTTAGTGCTCTAAAAATACCTGATTATACATCCTCTTGCTTTCTGTTTCCAGATTGTTCTCTGAGAAATCATGACATTCAAAATGCTTTGGCACACTGATTCTCTTGCAGTTTGAGGGCATGTTTTCTGGAGTCCATAATTCTTCTACAGCATGTGCAGATAATTTCTTAACATATGAACTGCAATGTGGTACCACAAGAGGAACCTCCACAGTTTTCTTCCAAGGAGCTGAGTGCCACTGATCTAATTTGTACAAGTTTTGCTTTAGTGTTTGTCTCTCCAGAGTACGTTGGTCAGAATTAAGCTGATCAAAATCTTCAGAGCTTCCAAAAATACCAGCATCAAGGATTTTTATAAGGAACTTGAGTAGGGAGAAAAAAAAAAGCCAGATGATATAATATTCCATATTTTACACAGTTTTTGGAGGTATTGAAATTCTTAGCAACTGATTTAAAGTTACACTTAAAACTAAAGAATAAGAATTCTTTACTCGTTCTCAAAGAAAGGCCCACTGATGCATCAGGAAAATGCCTATTTTAACTGTATTTGGCAGAATTCAGAATTAGACAAGAATTCCAAATTTGCGTTCCATGATAATTTTTGACATTTTCAAAATGTTTTTTCTGAATTGGGAAAACTCTCCCCCTCAAAAGCAAAACTTTTTTTCCCTTTATTTGGTAGTACTTCCTGATTTAGGACATAAAAGTTGGACATCCTGGAACTGGAAGCAGCAGGCATCAAGGCCACCATCTCATTTGGAGTTCTAGTCTCCCAGGTGGGCTGAAGAAGAAGTGAGCAGCTCTGGGGGTCTTGGCTTTGCTAGAACCTGCCTGCAGAGCTGACACAGAATTTGAGAGCTGAAGGAGCCAGGAGCCAGGAGCTGCAAAGGAGCCAGTCAGATGAGCTGACAGGAAGCTACGTATCCAAATTCCCTCAGAAATTCATCAAAACTAAACAGTTTGTACAAATTGATCAGTTTTGACTAACTGACAAATTCCAACAAAAAATTTCCATTTGCACTGTTTGGACTAGCTGTAATTGTTATCCCCAGGCTCGGCTCGCCCTCCTCCCCACATACACACGCTATCCACCAGCTGCAGGGGAATTCTGTATGTGAGGAGGGGATCAGATTAAGTGAGCAATCTTTTTCCAAATGCTGACATGATGCACTTATTGATGATGAAAAACAACTGGACAGCACAAATGCTTGCCTGTGTAGACCCAATTGCAAGTCTGACACCTAAGCATACAAAAACTTCCTGAGTCTACTTACTGGCGAAGCGGTTGGAGAAGAATCTGAAGATGAAGGAAATATCTTGTCTGCTTTTGCTCCTTGTTTTCTTTTAATCTTCTCATATTCTTTAACTGCATCATCTACAAATTTAGTTACAATTCTTTCTGCTACTGTATGACAACCATGAATGCTAAGCATATCAAAATCACACAGGAAAACATCAGAAACCTTTGCTGATTGTTCAGATAAGCTATCAGCTGGATTTTCTTTGAAGAGAAACCGTTTCTGATTGTCTTCTTGTTGCGGGCCTTTGCCATAATTCATTACTTCTTTTTCAAAGGCACTTTTATATTTGTGTTGAGCTGTTTCAGAAAATGCAACTAAAGTGTCAAACAAAAGTTTTTTACTGAGTTCACTTGTGATATCATCAGCGAGTTTACTTCTTTTCTGATCCTCTACCAAGCAACAAACATTTTTGCTTATGTTCCCCTCATCTGTGTTCCTGGTCTTATTTTTCACTGGAAGCACATCTGCAGGTATCCTTTGTTTTATTTGTGTCAGTTCTGTTTTTTCTTTATCTGATTGCAAGCACATTAAATTATTTTGACAAAGGAATTCATTACTCTTGCACTGACGAGAATTTGGAAACTGTTGCCCTGTTCCAGAGAGCAGGGCAATGTGTAACCTAGACTGTTTTTCTTTCACTTCTGAGCTCCTTGCATTGTTTGTGTCTTCAGCTTTCTGCTCTGTAAAGCCTGCTCCCTGCTTATCATCTTCAGTGTATTTGCAGTCTCCTTGGAAAGATTCACCATCATGGAAGGAGTCTGAGTCTTCATCCTCAGTGGGATTGGAACCATTTTCATTAGCCTCCAACAGATGTGAAATTTGATCAGGTCTGACAAAGATGCCACAATGCTGAGCGCACTCAAAATACTTCACCCCTTGGTAAGTTCCAGCATTATCACCTTCTGCTTTGTCAAGTGCAACACCAGCCCAATAGCCACTATCAAAATAGGTCTGTCCTTTGAACATTAAGGTCCCAGGCTGTGTCTTTTTTACCAACACTCTGTCTCCAATCTCAAATGATAATAATGGGTCATCGCTGTCCTCCTCAGCTTTGGGCAGTGTTAAGTGTGTTTTGCATTGTTTTTTCACGGACTCAGTATTTTTACTGGCTTCATCAGAAGAAATAGGATTTGGCACATCAGCTTGGAGAAACTCCAAAAACTGCAAAGACATCTCATATTCTCCTTGCTGCTCTTCCG